GCGATTCCCACTTCTTTGCTAATCCAGGCAAGAGATACTTTTAAGAGGGCTCTGAATTCCGGAGAAACTCGCTTCTCATCGCTATATCTGGAAAGTGCATCTGGATAAAGGTACCAACCGATTTACCGGCGAGGATTATCTCAAAAACGCCCACGTAGACATAGAAATAGATCAATGTTCGCGAACAAAACATGATAACAAAGTTTTTGTGAAGTTGCGCAGAAGCTCTGACCTCAAGAGACCTCTTATCATGGCTTTGATATAATTCACCATCCGGAGGAGAGAAATCTTCTGCATCTCAAATGAATTTCACCAGTCACCAGCGGTATCCAAGCCAACTTTATGGCCGCCATTGCAGTTCTGAAGCAAATTTTATTAACACATCTGATGACGTTTTCCTTCTCGGCTGATATGCCTACTACGTGTTCAGATATAGTTATTAGCTTTTCCAGGGAACTGTGGATATTAGGATCGTTGAGTAAATGAATGCTGCATTGATGTCCCGACTTCTCATCCTCTGTCCATAATCTGCAGTATCGCCCGTTGAAGAAGGCGGTGATGGAAGCGCAGTTCAAGTGTACGTATAAGCCACCTTGGACAACAACATTCGCCCTTGAAAAAACAAGAGTCAATATCTTACCCATCCACATAATCTCCTGTCAGTATTACACTTTGGTCAGCGTTCGAGCAACTCCACGTACCAGTATATTCTCATCCATTGTACTCTCTCATCCAGTAAGTAGATATTGCTAGTGACTTATACACTACTGACAATGGCACTCATCCTTCTGAGCTGGCTACATCTTCTGGCACTACAGATTTGGGTTAAAATAGCGACTTTGGCTTATCATACCATCGTCTTTCGGCCGCTGATGTCTTTGAGAATCACGCTCGTCTTAAAATTATTCTTGATTAGTTTGGAGGAACAGTTTCAAATTATTATGAGTTTCAGACTGTTCTTTCTTCTCTCTTGACTACTGCCATAAATATCTGTCAACTTGAGATTCATTTTTTGATTAAGTTCCGTTCTTACGTCTCACCAGTGCAATTCAAGATTTTCTTCTTCTATTTCTGATCGGCTACCTCGACATAAAGCTGGATATCCCTGCTTCATATTTTTTTGTAGTTACGATATTGGAAGAAGTTCAACCACAAATATTCCTCTTGGACTTGACAGTCTTTTGCAACCCGATGTAGTGTATGATCATTCAGTTTCTTCACTTTGCCAAGAACGTTGTAGGGCGCCATTAGCACGAAAGCTAGCCCCCCCTAGCTACCACTAGTAGGGTAACCAATGGCACAGAGGCCACACTTCTTAAATTTTCTTCAATCATATATATAGTTCATCATCACGCTGATAACCTCGTTCAATTCAAGAATAATACACTATCATATTGTCAGAGACCAGGTTCATAATCTTTAATACAGTATTTCTAGACCCAACATCAGCTTCATCATTGTTATCCATACAAAGTTTCCACGATGATTTCCACACCTCTTTCCAAAGATGAGACACTATGGATCTCTATAGTATTGTACATTTTCGTCTCGATGGTAATTGGCATTGTTATCTGGTGGGGTGCTTGCTCTCGACGTTCAAGACGTAATGAAATCATGGATGAAGAACAAGCCATCGTTTCCGAAGGTACTGTCAACAGTTCTGGGGTCATGATTGAGAGGTGATTAGGGGAATAACTGTGGTACAGCAAAGAATGAAGCCCAAATCAAATGAAGATGCTAAGGACCATATGTCGGGGAGTTACCTATGTCTTTGAAATTCCATACTCGAGTTCTAGAAGCGGAGTGTCACATTCCAAGGGCCGACAATAATAAGAGGCTCTGCGAGTGACGGAACGCAGATCAGTGACAGAGCATCATTACTGGTAATTGGGACCAATTTCTGTTACCTTCTGGGAAGTCTATTTTTTCAAGAGCTCTGAGCCTTTGCTACAGCAAAGTGTATATATACAACGGCCTATTATCATACGAGAACCACCGACAGATATTTTATATAATCAATTTTCATGAGAAATTCATATCACGCAATTCAATCAGGTATGTAAAAATCTTCTATTACGAGTCTCTCCAGCGGCACTAGTATTTACCCCTGAGTGATTCTCTTTATCGCTCTCGTTTCTGACATTTTCATTCACAGACATATATTCATTAAATGCAATACTTCGATTTTGAGAGACTGTATTCAAATGAGTCAAAATTCCGAACTTCTACTACAGCACCCTACTTGCAAATATAGATTAAGCTTGCATCATTGGATCGTCAGAGCGGCTCTGCTGTAAAATTCAATAAAGAATCATCAATTCCCAACAGCTAATCCAACCTGGAGAAATGAATAATTAACCGAAGAACTGAAATTGCTTTTGCAACTGTATTCTTAAGGGTGCGTCTTCTCGCGCGTTCTTTTATGATGCACAACACCTAACTTCAAAAGAGCATCGATAACCTCTTCTCAACTTCTATTTACAACCATCCTCCAAGTTGTAGTACTTCATCTGAAGTCTTCTCACTAAAACCAAAGAGATCATGACACCTTCACAGCAACCAAGATCTGTTTCCAGCATGGGGATTGGGAGTCATCTCACCTCGACAGGATGTGCGTTAACGACCTTATGGAACTTCATCAACAGGATCTAAAGCAACGAGAAGTGATGTCAATGATCCGGCGACAGGCATTCAGCATGGAGAACGACTCTGACATTGATAAAGAGAAACTTCTCACAGAACATGTCACCAAACGCTGGATCAAAAATGTCATCTTCATTAGGGATGGACAGAAGTGTATCATCGCGAATGGTAAATAACAAAACATGCTTACGTTTTAATAATTTCTAACATGATGCAGATATTGGTCATCGCAAAAACTTTTGGTATCCATGGTTTGAAGAGCACTTTGACGATAGACGCCGAAAGTATTGCGTCGATCCGCGTGGCCGAACACTCAAGGAAGTTGACCATACAAGCAAGAACCGAAGAGCGTTCATGAAAGACACCCTCCACAAGAGTGAGAAAGGATGGCACTTACCTCGAAGCCATGATCGCCATATCTTCAAATTTCCTCAAGGTAAGTTGGAGTTTGACGTGGTTCTTTCTTGACTTTTCAAGCCAGATTTGGTGCAATAAATCGGGATCTATTTCTAGCATTCTTTGCTTCCAAACCCTCATGAAACAGTATCGATCATTAAAGCTAATTTTCCACGTGCTGCAGAGATCATCGACAATATACTGGGCCATCTCGTGCAAATTATGGATGCTGCACTTGTGCCTCAAATCGCGACGACCAATTGGAAAAAAAAGTTCACCGGCTCACCCCACCACACGACTAGTCAAGACTGTTATCCGTATACAACGACTGAGATCGGTGTACTCACCACGACTATACATGGCAAACTAATGGTATTGCGCAGAGTTCACCAAGGTCAGATAGACGCAACTTGTCTACGAGTGTGTAGAGCCTGGAACCAGACAGGGGGTCGATTGCTGTACCGATTCAACCGCTACGATTTCAAGACCAACAATCCGACTAAAGATGCAAGTCCTGGGAGTTGGATTGACGGCAGTTTTTGGCGGCCATCTCCGAATAAACCCTTTGTCATAGCTCGAGATGATTCTCCTAGAATCTTCAATGCTAGAATACAGAAGGGCATTAGAGACATTCAGAGGCAAGTGGCTATCAAGAAATTAGTAGGATGGGTATACCACGACCCTTTTCTACGCTTTTTGCACATGATCGGTGCCAACAATGCAGCCCTTCTTCGCACCCTGTCATTCTCTGGCGAGGTTCGCTGTCACCAATGCGAGTGGGGACACTTTTGCGATGACTGTCTTTTGGAGAGCTTTCGGGTTTACATTCCCGTTATGAATGCGCTTTGTCCCAATGTACAGAAATTGATTTTGAATGTCAAAACAGATAGCCAAGCGCGAGCTGTAAACATATTCGAAAGGAAGGTCCGTGAGTTTTTCGAGGGAGAACTTCGAGAATTGAGATCTGTTACGGAACTGGTAGTAGTCGATTTGATAGTAAATGGCTACGAACTGCCGGACGGTGATACTAGAAGTGTCTCAACCGCTCAACTGGCAGAGCTAACGGTCAGTCATTTCCGAGAAAGAGCTTCTTGATCAGTCAACGGCTGGAGGTCATACATTCATGAGATTGATTTAGACACATGAGTTTTGGAGCCTGATTTTGGAGACCCCAGAAGATTTGTGTAGCTTTTGACTCGGATTCAAAAAGTCGATGTGAGAGGCAGCCACAAATAGATGTATATGGAAAGCTTTTTTGGTGTATGTTCGAGATAATAGTTGAGATTGAGATGGAGGATGATGGAAATGTAGATGTTGGTAGAATGAATGAGTACTTGGTCAATTTTCAATCGAATTCTTCATACATCAGTCATGGCGTCCTTATTTAATCCAAAATTTCAAAGACGTCCCGAATGACGCTGTTGGTATTGACTAAAAAGTGACAGACAATGATTATTGATTTTTGAGAATCATCTGACGATTGATGTTGCTTGTATTATGTTCATGTTGGAGATTGCCATATGGTGTCCTACCAAGACCAGACTTAATACTCGAAGAGTCAGCAGAATGTCTGGGTACCCCTTCTTCGTGTGCACGTCGCAATTCAACAATCTATCGTTCTCTAATGGCAAGACTGATCCAGGGCTGATTATATATAAGCGCGAAGCTAGTTGACTAACTCCTACTATTGCTTTGGAGGGAGATGAAAAGACGTAATTGAAGTTGGTATGGCTAGAACATGGCAATGGAACTGCAGCAAAGCAAATGTATTCAAAAGGGTATGAAAATCCGTCTAATTACTGATCACTTGACCACTTGACCACGGCAGATTTTGTCTCATCAACTAGATGTGTTTATTAGGCGCATGGGAATGAAGCTTTCACGGTAACATGGTTGTTGGTATATGAATAGGTTGGAGATTTAGAAACTTTTCAAATCGATTAAGCGGGCGGACTTCTGGGGACTCCGATGTTATCCATAACTCTCAAAGTATACTTCTTTAGAAATCAATTTCGAACACTTGAGGCACCTAAATATCTGCGAATGGATTTTAAGCACACACATTTGGTGGTGTATTGGAATCGACACTGTATGTTGGTTCGTCAATTGGTACCTGCATTGCCAAGGCGATTGTTCAATCAATCAATCAATCTTCATTTAATTGACGAGATGTCTGTCAAATTGTCAATCAGGGGTCTCTATTCGGGTACAGTATTGACCGCTGTCTGTTGGAAGTCCAATGCTCCACAAGCTTGAAGGAAGTGCCTGGTGGTTGCTGGAGAGGGAGAGAGAGGTAGGTAGTTGGTAGTTGCAGGTCCTTTACCCAGATCCTTGTGATTTGATCTTACTGCTGAATTTCCACTTCATCGCAGTTCCTTCATCGCAGTTTCTTCATCGCATACGCAAGCACCACTCACTTCTATTGACGGTTTGTCACAGTCTCTTATTCTTCCTTCTCTTCACTCTTCACTCTTCTTTTCCTTTCCTCTCTTTCATTCAAATCACAAAACCTTGGAATGCTTGCGGAGATGAAGCACGGCTGCATGGGGTGGCTGGTGCTTATCTAGGTACTTTATTTTGTGGGTAAATTTATTCCTGTGCCGCATTTCTTGCCATTCATAACCAATTGAAATTCTGGATAACTTCATGTTTCAAATTTCAATCTCGTACATCCAAGTCGTTTATGTATAATGACGTCCATGTGGGAAAATATCAAAGCTCGATCTTCTCCTTCAATGCCTTGGAACTCTCCCCCAAAAAGCCATGACCTTTTCACGACCTTCTCGACCAATGGTGGGTTGGGACGAATGATGAGGTTCAAATCCTTCCACCTTTAAATCCTGCAGCCGCAACCGATTTATAAGTTGTTTTTTTGTTGTTTTACTATTGCTACTGTTATTTGAAGATCTTTCCTACTTCATTTCATCTTCTTGTCGTCGTTTGATCCTGTTTATACGCATTTTCGAATTGTGTATAAATCTCTTTTCTCTTAGGATCTTATTCGGTTGAAGTGGCTGGCAAGGTGAATTATCCACAACCCTATCTGCCATTGGGAATCTATCAAATCTTTACGCCTTCAGACCAGCAGTTCACACCCAAAGATCACACAGTTGAACAACAATCATGGTTACGACTCTTCCTCAAGTGCTTCTTGCACTTATTCCAGTGGCTTTGGCATTTCCAGCGCCACATCCAGTAGCTCAACCTGTTCCTCATCCTATGATAACTCCACGAGCCTCTTTGACCGATAGAACACCATCACTAGTGGAAGAAAGGGGAGTGATTAGTTCCGTCGAATCATCCATCAAAGGTCTAGAAAGTTATATTACCAGTGTCCTCGGCACTTATCCTTCATACATTGCCAGCGGGGTACCCAATTTCTTTCAGGATTTTCCAACAGGAAGCGCGGTTCAAAGTAGTTTAGGAATTAGTGATAGTGACTTGGCAGCTACTCCTACACAAGTCTTGAATATCCCGTAAGTTCAAACTCCTCCCTCATTGTAATATCATTTCAAGAAGAAGAAAAGATTGCTAATCAATAATCAAACAGAGGATATGCGAATTGGACTGATCAAGGCTGGAACCTCCGTGTCCATGGAAATGTCTTCAAACAACCAAACATTTCCGAATCCAAGTTGGATGATTTAGCAAATATCTTCCTAGTCGGTACCTCAATCGAAGATCTTCCCGCGGCCCAACAAACTCAAGCCCGAAACCTTACTGCCGAAATCTTCGTCGTACAACAAGCAAATGTTAATGTTTCATTCAGCTTGGAGCCTGCTGCGTCTCAAGGTGGAGATGGAGAGAGTGGTGGCGGTGGAGCGGTAACCGCAGGTGGAGGAGCCCAAAATATTACACTTGTGGGACAAACAACCGTGGAGGGTGACTATGATCAATTCATTCAAATCGCCAACGTTTCAGGACCTGGTGGATATCTTGCTCCTGGTAACGACACAACCGATATTCAAAGAATAAACGTTTACACCGACGGCACACTGACCGGAAATGCAACATCCTACCTCGTCCCTGAGTCTGGTATTACCATTATCTCCGACATTGATGACATTCTTCGTGTTACAAAGATTTACGAACCAGAGGAAGGTCTTCTTAACTCTTTTGCCAGACCATTCACTCAATGGATGAACATGCCTGATATTTACGCCAATTGGTCTCGCACCATTCCTAACTTTCACTTCCATTACTTAACCACTACCCCGAGCAAGTTACAAGAAACTACATGCAGTTCATCTACGACACCTATCCAGGAGGATCTTTCGATACTCGACCCCTTAACTTCTCAGATGTATCTGCTACACTCTCTATCCGAAAGTATCTTCTCACCAAAATCTTTGAGACCTATCCCAACCGCAAATTTATTTTGATGGCCGATACTTCCAACTCTGATGTTATGAAGGATTATCCTGAGATGGCTACCGATTTTCCTGGGCAAGTCCAATGTATCTTCCTCCGCAATACATCTGCGACTGATAGTGGAGACAAATTCCCATACGAGACATCGGGTTTCCAAAATTTGAACCAGTCACAATACATGTTCTTTTTAGTACCAGATGATCTTACGAACCTTGATATTGTCAATGGACAATGTTACAATAGCACTATTCCGCAAAACGTCACATTCAGCCTGCAAGGACTACCTTTCGGATTGAGCAAAAGCGGTGCTGGAAAGAGCATGGCTATTGGACGGAGTTTGGTTTGGGCAGCTATGGTTGGAGCTTTCATGCTCGCCTTGTAATATGACATGAGGTAGACGAGATAATGCATTGGATACGATTCGGCGTTCAGAGTGTTGGACTTTTACGGGGGATATCGAGATTCACAAGATACCTTTTATAATGTATAGATGATTCATTATTGCTTAATTGTACTTGCAGTGTTGCGAATCCGTGAATCTTAATGACCGTGCTTGATGTGATGCTTATTGAAATCCATGCACGAGGATAAAACATTTCTATTTTGCATCTTTATATATTCTGCTGCGACATGTCATCGTCATCGTATGTACTATTTCAGGTCCCTATACAAAGATCCAGCCAAGTATTATCAACCCAGCTGTGTGCCGTTCTATGCACATTCAGATCCCTGTGTTCAACGATAGAACAAAACCCTAACTCCCGACTGACCATACCCATCGGCCATTCATTCATTTCATCCATCAAATATAAATCCCATTATGGATTCCAATTACTTCCCAGCCCTTTCCCTCCCAATTCCAAAGCGAGTAAAGCAAAATGACCACCAACAGTGGGTCTGGCCCTCAACGCTTCTTCAATCCCTTCTTCTGTATTTCCATCAACTTTGACTGTCCATCTATCACTAAAAGGCCAACTATTCTTCCCGTTGCTAATGAATGCCCAAAGATCATCAACGAATGATTGTCTCACATTCCCCGTCGTTGTCCCTGCAGTCCAAATATTCCAGTCGGATTTCGCCCATGCCTGACGAGAGTCAAGAGCCACTCCGCCATCAGACCGAATGGTTGGATAGTAGTTCTCTTGCATGGTATATGCTGCGTCTGGGAAGGTTGATAAATCGAGCAAAACGTCTGGGTAGAGATTGAAGGGGATTTTCCAGGAATCGTCATTATTCGGGTAATTAAGTACGAAATGTGTTTGATCCACATCAGTTCCTAGTTTATCTGTGTAAATTTGGGTGGCATGCGCATCTCCAATGGTCGAATAATTGGCATAGGTTTCGCCGGCTAGAGAAGCAAAAGCTTTCAGACCAACTGCTGCTTTGATCGCGAGGTTGGTTTCATTCGCGAGAGGTCCAGCAGCATCGTTGGTAGAGAGTTGAAGAGTTATGTTGATGGAAGTTGATGGGAGATATGACGCGTACTTATTGAGAAGTGTGTAGTATTTCTCTGCCCAAGCTGTGTTGTTAGTCGCTTTCTGGTAAGCGAGAGCAAGTATGAGTAGATTGCCGGTTTCTTCTATTGGCATTACTTCTGCGACGCCATTATCATGGCCGGTGGCATTGGGATATGCGGAACCGATATCGTGAATTACGTAAGGAAGATTCCAACGACCGGAAGCGAGATATTTCAGTACTGGCTCAAGGAGGAGGCGTAAATATTCTGGGTTTGTAACATACAGAACCGGGAACAGGGGCATGATGACATCCACAGTATTAACGTTCCCATCACTTGAGATTTCCTTGACAAATGCGAGGACATCGCTGGTATCCAGTGTAGCATTTGGAATAACCAAATCAATTCCTCCATATACTTGTCTTAATGATAAGGTTGTGATATCCGAGTAATTTGTACCAGCAACCTGAGTTGCGGCTGCAGACAGTTCAGAATCGATAGTTTGAGACTCAGCCAGTGCATCTTTATAATCTTCAAAGAAATGTTCCAAAGCGTCAATAGTTTCCGGATATGTCGCACGATAATAACCAGTGTATGGTGTTCCTAGATAATTTACTGCAGCTTCTCTTACATATCCAACGGCATAGGTAACAGAGGATGTTCCAGTTACACTTCCGAGATCGTGAGAAATTCCTGTGACCCCATCTGTTGACCAGGTACCCAGAGCTCCGGAGAGGGCACCTGTGTCTGAAAAGACTTTGCGGACAGCAGTCCTATCACCTGCTTCAGTAGTGAGAGTAGAAGTGGATGAGGGTTGAGATGAATAGACTGCTTCACCCCATAATGCTTGATCTGAAGACTCTGAGTATGTGGCTCGATTGTTGGCTCTGATTGAAAATGCCGAGGTGGTGTTCTGTTTCGTGAATGTCCAGGATGAGGATACAGTCTGGCCAGTCCAAGTGCCACTGATGTCGGAATATATCTGAATATCAGTCGCAGCGGTAGTCCCAGCAGATATAGTCAAGTAACCTACCTGAACATCAATAAAATTTTCAAGGATAAGGTTCATGGAGAATATGAAGGTCATATTTAATGGAACTTACTGAAAGGGAGGGACTGTCTCAAATAATTCCCAGTGCTAACGGGAGAAAAGAAGTCCAAGCTGAAGGTCACACTTCCAGCCGTAACATTAAAAATCGAATGCGTAGAGGTATATTTCGCCGATACTGTAGTCCCATATCTTGTTCCAGCTCCTGGGGAAGCTACCCCGAAAAGATTCCATGTAACATTATCTACGCGTGCAATTACGCTCCATATCAAATTTTGGCCAGCCCAGAATTGTGCATTTCCAGAGCTGATGTTGTTGGCGAGAGAACTCGGGATCCAGGCCGAAAGATAAGGATTCCTCACTGCAAGAGGATATGAAGGAGGTTGAATAGGTTCATGGATAACATTTGCGGATGTATCTCGGTGGTGATGTTGTTGTTGAGCCTTAGTGACGGGGATAAAAACAGCCAGGAAAATGAACAAAGCACCTATCACAACAAAAACTCCCCTCCGACAATACATAGATAACATGGCTTTCCGATTCGACTCCAGTAACTTCTTCTTTTGAGATTCTGACAAAGTATCAAAGGAAGTGATTGAATCGTCAGATATCGCACGTTCAGGAGGAGGAGGTCTGCTCCCGGCGAACGTTTTGTAGTTTATTCTTCCCATGATGACCGTTTGGGATGATGTTGTAACACGCTCGTATTGCGAATGTGATTATTTGCAGAAAAGTGACTTGCTAATCTGCAGGAATACGTCGCCTACCAGATATAGGTGTGTGCAGATGAATGAATGAATCAGAAATGCAGAAGATCTGAAATTGGATTGCAAACACACTCCTGTGACATAGCTTAGAAGAATGTTGTGGCACAGTGCTGGTGCATCCCGCTCAGGGATCTGTGGGGTTCATCGACACCAAAACAAGAGGCGATGTTCTTGAGATCCCAGTCATTCAAGATCTCCTCACTATCTTTTGATTGTAAAATGCTAAATTTATCATTAACCCCAGAAATTGTGCAATGAAAAGTCTCCGAGAAGCCTATAGCGATTCATAGAGATCTGATTGTGGGTATGTTTTATGCATAAGCGTGGTTTGTGCAGTGGGCTTACTACATAGATACAGGGGCTTCAAATCCACTTGCTAGATGCGCAGCGGGCCAGCGAGGCTTTCACGAGATCAGATACCGGATAACTTAGGTTAAATCCAACAGTTGGTATGCAGGTGTAAATTGATTCATTATTATGCGCGACTATACCAATAAACGCACCGTATCCAAGCTTTTTAGGCTATCAAACGCCATGAACACCAAAACCATCCCCAAAATGCACTGCTGACACCAGCAGCCTTTCCAGCCCACAATCAAACATTTGGTAGGACTTCAGATCATATTGAGCTAAAATCATATCGCAAATCCTGGTACCTGGGTATTTTTTCATCACCGTCATCATATGTCGTCAAAATTGCGTGATGTGATTTAACACTCCACAGTTCATGTTGAAGCGTGAGCAACAACAAATGCCGCAGCTGCAGCTGCATTCTCCCCGTAAGTTAAGTGAGCTGGAAGAATTATGTCCCCAGCTTCACAGATATTATCACCAGTGTGGCAGATCGTGTCCACTTTCGATGCGTCCATGTTTGGAATGGCTTGACCGTCATCTGTTCGTCGATCTATCAGCATCTTCTCCGCCTTACATATCAAGGAATAAGGATCTCTAGAATTCACATACCTGGATCCCCGAAGATCACGACAGAGCTAATCCATTTCACAGTTGCTGCAGGAAGTAACGCAAGTGCGTTATGTACAACTTGACCTCCTTGAGAATAGCCAGATGCCACAAGATTTGTATTTGGGCATGCTGCGTACGCGGCCTCAATTTCTGATGCCCTATATCAAAGTCAGGTGCCTGATGACGAAATCTCTTTACATATCGCATAATATAGGATTGCTCATAACATGTTTGTTCATATAAGTAGCAAAAGGGAAACATACATTGAAGCACTTCCGACAGGATCACCACCAGCGAGGAATGTTGCTACGCTAGCTGCATAATTATTCACACCTTGAACTGTGACCTTGGAAGATCCTACAAGAGCTTCCAGTGCCATGAAAAATGGCGGACCGGTGATGACTCCTGCGTTTCCTGGATCATCTGTTCCCCGAGCGTAAATGACAGTGTAGTCAGTGCAAGCACCGCCTAGTTCATTATAAGTATCACTGATGCCAGTGAGCTCCGAGATGAGGTTCTGGAAGTCAGTGATAACACTTTCAACCGCTTCGATTGCGCCATTGACTGCTGGAAGATTGTTTAGGATTATCGTGAGTATAGTGTTGAGAGGGGTATTTCTCTTCTCGTTGTGGGCGACAGGTCGAGGGGAGATGGGTGCAGCCACAGCCAGACTGGCAGACAGAACGGTGAGGAGAAGATTAAGCTTCATGGCGAAATCGAAACACGTAAAAGGGGATGATGAGACTGTCCAAGGCCTGGAAACGAAAGGGATCACAAACGAACGAGACGGAGAATGAGAGAAACACGAGCTGGGCTGGGGAAGGAAGACATGATGGAGGTACGATTCACCCTTTATAATGGCTCGGAGTGAAGAGAAATCGACGATTCAGTGGATTTTTACCTCCCTCCATTTCTACAACGGAGTAATCTAATCATGGGTCTGTAAACGCGGGGAAATGGCGAGGATACCACTGCGAATAGTTACTCTATCGTTCTAATCGTATACAGGCACAGATTAGTTTGGATTGGTTCGGTGCGAACGGGACACTGTCAATCAGGAACCATGTCCGACGACGATCGGCAGTAAGCAAGCTGTCATATCAAGGAAGCCCTCATAAAAAAAAAGAGCACTCGGGGCAACGCAAAGTGTAGGATTTCATGGCACATACCAATTAGGCCTCGACGCTACTAAAGGGTAAGGGATCGACGTTTTTGAATTCGTTGAGGAAAACTGTTCTCATGACCATGTTTGGCGCAAATGGATCTCTTTTGAAGGATGGGGTTAAATTGATTCGGTGTAACTCTATGGATACCTTATGGAGTCGACCAATTAACAAATTAAAAAGCGGTGTTGATTGGCAGCTGTGACCAATTGAAGTTACGAAATCAATTATTATGCCTCGTGGCTGATATCTTTATTTGGCTCAGGCACCGGATCGTGCCGTTCAACTACTTGTGCTACATTGGCAATCGAGTACGCTTTCAAAACTTTTTCTAGGACCAAATACCAGGTATCTTGACACGAACTAAACAACTGCCGTTTGTCCCACAGCAACGGCGTTGTGGAGAAATCCGGGGAAGACTTCGGGGATAGAATCTGCAGCTGTAAGAAAAAACCAACACAACCAACACCACGCGACCTAATTCGCGGGGCGTAGTATTTCCGAACCTTCCATAGGAATTAAATTTATCGGAGCAAGATAACAAGCCGAGAGTAGCATGTGAATCCACTTGCTCCTTTCGCTTCTACAGAGCATGGTAATGGCAGCTTGAGGACCGCGTGGGGCTACATTCTAAAAGCGACTATTGCGAATTAGGATATGTGTCCGCGCCCCGCGGCCAACCAATGATATGGAAACTTATTTCTTGGCAAGGCTGGATTGTAGATTTGGTCAGGATGTTAGCATCAAAGAGCTGCAAGCGGAAGAGAATGGGACTCATTTGATCATGAAGAAGAGCCTTTATCCAGAAATTCGTTCATCAGTTGAGGGAAAAATCGTGGAAAACCCGCATATCAACAGCTTACAGATGTACCGAGGAGTGACTATCACATGTAATATCGGCAGTTGTTTAGCAAGTCGAAGGGCAGCAACGGATTGTATGTATGCTTCTACTGACAATGAATTCATCGGATGGCTCCCAAAAAATCTGCATCCTGGAGGTTCTTCTTGATCCCTTTCTCATTTCTATGTGACAAGAATCAAATTCATCAAATCCACTTTATCGCTTGAAGAACACAGGTCTGTGGGGCGTGGAAATCCTGATGGGTGTGAGGGCCAGGGGATGGCCCTCCCATTATCTCAACAACGGAATTTTGCGAAATTGAAAGTATCCTGCCGTCCCAACAAGTAGATTACAATAATGCATTTTCTTTGTGCGCCGTAGAATAGCGATATCATATCGGTCCCGACCTACTCAATTTCCTCAATTCTCGGTTTCGTAACATTTACATTTCTGCTGACTGGGGTAATATTCAAACCAGCCAAATTCTCGATCCCACCAGCTCCTGCTAAATTTCCAACCGGGATTAGTGAGTTCATTTGCCATGACTCTATCCCTTCGACGACGTCTTTTGCATGCTGCCTAACCAAACCATCATTATCCGTACCCTGAACATATCTCAATATTCTTGTCATATCATCCAGACTCTGGCCTACGAATCCAAATCCTAACTGTCTACCTTCAGATCTTGCCTTGTCCAATGCGCGTACAAAGCTCATGACGAGAAGAATGGCAGATCGGCGAAGAATACCCTTCTCAACCTCCGGTTCCAATGTGAGTATATGAATGCTGAGATCTACAGACATAGAAATTGGTTTATGACCGATACCTGATACATTACATTCTATGGCCTCGCCGAGAATCGCCAAAGCAGACGAACGTATCCGTATATCTTCCGTTCCGCGCTTGCTTTCCCAGCCCGAAACTATTCGAGAAAGTAATTCGTATTCGGGGTGGTTGGCATCCGGCTCGAGAATTTCGTCCAATTGTGGGACTGGACCATCCCATGCCTCTTCTGCTTCGGCCGTCTTCTGCTTCTTGAGTTTATCGCGTTTGATTCGTTCGGCCTCGCTTTTAGGTCGATGACCTCTCCGACCAGCAATCGTAATCAGACCTTCGCTGACGGTTTGTGCAATACCACCTGTAAAGTTTGTTGGCGAGGATTGAATGACTTGGAGTAAGGCTTCCCCAAGTCTCAAACGGGCGTCGAGATCATAATCCTCATTGCCATCTGCATAACGCTCGATGAGATCCTTTAATACAGCCCTAGGGTGAATTTTCGAAAGGTCGATAAAGCACCTGATAGCACGAAGATAAACATATTCTTCAGAATCTTGAAGTAGCGACGCGAAGAGAATGAGGAGCGCAGGTATGTCCAAAATTGAACTACGAGCGCTAATAAGGCTCTGGATCAGTTCAATCCCCTGAACTCTCACTGGAGGAGGAGATTCAACAGAAGTTAGATATGACATAGCAAGATTATAAGTCTTTCGGTCTTCTACTGCCCGACTGGGAATATTTTCGGATAGTGACTCGCTTGACTCATTAAGGGCATGGCGAAACTGTAGAATGACGAGAAGATTTTGTGCGGTTTGGGTTACTTCTGTAACAGTTCTGCGCCCATAAATTCGGAGAGAAGATTCGATTCTTTCTAGGAAAGGCTCTATTGTAGGGGTTGGCCTAAAGTTTGGTGATGTAAGAACAATGTTTAATAGACTTAAAGCAATAGAGACAATTCCTTCCTGATCTTCGGAATCTGAATCTTCGGCGCCGGTTGCGTCGATCAGCACCCCATCAACTAGTTCCACTATCTGCTTAGAATCTTGAACAAGCTTCTCTGGCATTACATTGATCATTTCTTGCAATAGCTTTGCTTCAATGAGCTTTAGCTTCGCATTTTCATCGCTACTGACCAATGGAGAATGAATTAAAATAGACGGAGTTATGAAAGTCTTTGCTTGCGAGAGCCATTTCTGACACAGCATTAAAAACATTTGAGGTACCTGAGAGTCAGAATCAGGAAACTCGTTCAGTAGGCCAATAAAATTCTCTACTGCTTTATTGATTTGGCCGATGTCAAGGTGTTGTTGATTCATCGTGGTAGTTTCTGATATTCTCTCAATCTGAATGCCCTTACCGTCCTTTGGTAAACGGTAAATCCAACTCGTCTTACCAGGCTCTGATCTTCCTTGAAACAGGATATCATTCAGGACCTTTGAAAGTGCGCCTTCACTAGATTTAGAAGTCGTTGACGCTGATAGCTGCAGCAAAATTTTCAGCAGCTTTCCGGCACAAGCACTAGATTCCCCGCGATCATCTTTGTTTTCGACGCAAAATAAAGCCCACAGTGGCAAGAGAATAGGATTAAGAAGTCGTTTCGTCAGTGATGGGTGAGGATGTGATGTTACTATAGTAAGCAATCTTCGTAGACTTATTCTAAGGTCCTCAGCTGTGACAAGAACTTCTGGCATTCCAAGTACTACTATCTCTTCAACTTGTGATTTTTGTTTTGTGAATGGAGGAATAAGGGCTGGGTCAATTGATCCAATAATTGGCTCGACCAAAGATTTCCACCCCGGTGCGCCTGAACTATTTAGCATACGTTAAGACAAACAAACCATCCACCTTACCTGGGGCCCCATAAAGCTTCCGACCCAATATACCAAACCCAATGATGTAGGAGGCAGCTTTATCCATTTCTCTCTCTCCTTTTCCATCGAGAAGATCAAATAATTGAGGAGCAATACCACTGAACCATTCCTCTGCTGACATTCCTTGTGGGGGTGAAGATAAGAGTCTTGATGCGGAGCTCATGGCTTCATGAGAAATATTCACGGAACGACTACCAACGGAATCCGATGTCTTCATACTAGCATTACTTGGATGAATTGAGAAGACAAATTCAATAGTGTCTTGTACGCCGCGTGGTCTCAGGGGAAGACGGGCTAAAGTTTGAATTAAAGGTCCTCGTAACCAAGTTTGTACTCTGTCTGGTTGAACAAGAAGATTCAAAACGGGCATAAGTTTCAAAGTAGAATTACTATTAAACAATTAGAACCTCCGTTGGGAACCATTGAAGACCTCCTACCTTTTGATTAAGTTGTTAAATTCATGTCGTGATTGAATTCTTGTGGTTTCCGGAATCTCTGGATCAAAAGCTGCCTTTCCGATCTGTAGAAATTGATCAACCAAAGGCGGTTGTGCAGTCCTATTGTTTTGTTTCTCTGACATGATTACAGCACAATTGGCAAATGATTACTCGCAAGTAGATGTACCAGAATTCATTTGGTGGATGCCGTCGATGAAAAGAAGAATTCCAGATCCCGTGATCTTGATATTTTGATGATGCGGTTGTGGCTGATGACTTGTGGCAAAAGTGGCGTGGTCCTCTATCGATCATACACCTGATCATATCGGCCGACAAAGTTTCGTGTGTATTCCTCTTTTCAATGTCTCAAGATAAGCATTACAATCAAATACCTTTCGATCTCCAAGTGGACTTCAGTTTATCAAATACCCCTTTTGCATTGTTTGGTGGTGTTCGAAATATCGTGAGTAGTGTGAGTCGTGAGTACCAACCACAGAAGGTGGGACATCTCTGTGCTGATATCTGATATCCGAGGGCAGTGAAGTAGTAGAATGAATATCTACCGACTTTCCAATATACTCCTCATCAAATCTCTGCAAGTCATTGATCATTGATCGTTCACGTCTCTTCCGTCGTTCAGTTCCATTAAAAGACGTTTGTTCATCACCCACTTGTTGCATTGAAGTGTACATGTCTTGAGAGTAGATCACATGCCTACATGTGCCACGATGCTAAAAGTGTTTCATTTTTCAACGGTAGTAACTAATTGTTGAATTAATCATCTTTTTTTCGTTCATCTATACGCTTTGATACAATAACATTTGCTGACTGTGGCTACACCATTCCTCTAGGGTGTCAACAGATTATCCCGTGATGTTTTGAGCTGTCTTTCCATCCATTATCAACGCATCTCTCGGAATGATTGTTCATCATGCCATTTTTCCAAATCTCTATTCTCCCCTGACGGATGCCAAATGGTGTTTCCTGACCGAATCAATCTTTACATTTCCATTCCTCATCATCTCATATTTCGCCAACTGCTCTGCGACCGAGACCATTCATGGTGTCAATGTCTCATCGGTGACGGTAGAATTGTCTCTAGTAACTGTTGGTTGCTGTTCTTCAAACTGGGACGAAATGTTCCGAGTTTCCGGCAACGATTTGCTTTGTGGTGGAATATTTTCCACGACTATCGTCAGCTCCTCTATTTCGGCCAACAATGGCTTCTCCTTCACACGTTCTATTTCGACACAATCATCGTCCTCAAACCAGCCCTCAAAGAGTTGTTTGTTCAACAAGTAATGCCCAATACAAAATATATCAACGGCTACTTTCCGCACTCTCTGAAAACTAATCATACTGGACCTCACATCCTGCAGAGCTCGAATGGTTCCATAGTCCGTCTTGAAGTATATCGTGTCCTGATCTCTCAAGAACTTGATTCCTCTTCTGAACATGGCACCCAGCCTTTCTTCAACAACTTTTCTGTCCACGTATATTGGATCCTCCATCCCATCGTCTCCTATGTACTCTTCAATGAAGTCAAGATTCTCCGGGTGCTTGTCGTTAAGACAGTAATCCCACATGCTTTCTACGACGGCTCTGCTTTCATGGGATACCATTTCAATCGTACATTGACTTCGCGAATTAACTTCAGTCCATCTCAGAACAGAGGATCCCGTTGGCTCAGGGAAGATCGTTTTTTCGCAGTCTAAGTTCCAGTGCAGATTTTCTACGATTTCGGCACGAACTTCGATTAGGCGAGGGGGTTGAGTTTCGAGGAAAGCTTGACGCCAGATCATGCAGCGAATATTGCGAGGAAGAAGGGAAAATCTGAGGAAAGTGTTTTGACTTTCGGGCAGAAGAGATTGTTCTGGAATTCGTGAGGTATGCAAAGATGAAAAGGATGAGGTGAGTGAGAGAGTAGAATGTACATCCGACTCGGACAAGGTTTGGGTTAAGGATGCCATCTTTTTTGTATGAATAAATATAATGAATTATGATGGGATTTTAATGATTTGTTGTTTAATTGGATGGAATAAAACAACAAGACAAGCTGTTTTGCAGAGAAAAGAAATCATAAATTTGGGTTATGTAGTTCCTGCCCTGACACACTCTAAAAAAGAAAGCGGCACACACAATTATCCAAATCGTATCTATAGATAATCGAAACTACCCGTTTGACATATAATATGGTTGACAACAATGGCTTGAATGTGATGGATAAAACAATTTTCGACCTTTGACTCTTTATTTTCAAGGTAAGTAATCGAAGGAAAGTAGAGAATGATGAAACAAGCCATGAACAACTGAAGGAAAGCAAAGATGTAAACTTCATTCATCACTATTTAAGTCCCTAGAGCTGTTGGATGACAGGGAGGTAAATGTCAGCACTGTAGTGGGATTCTGCTGGTCAAATCAGGCTATGCCACACGCTACAGGGTATTGAATCACCCTCTACCCCTCCAACCCCTCTAACCCCTCCAAAATCGAACAAGTTGAGCGTTTAACCTTCAAACTTTTGTTGATACCTTGTAATACCAAGTTATGATTATACCAACATCAGAGATGCCACTTAGATTCTTACCGAGGTTAAATATCATCGAGATACTGAGCCTTCAAAAGCGGGTGTTCTAAGCGGTCCGATAATTTTACCGGGCGGCTGCCCATCTGAATAGGATGCAAACCCCGGATCGGAACCACTTCACCAACAACATCCCGGATCAAACATTGTATGATTATGGTACAAAATATGAAAAAAATGTTTCAAAAATCCTGTTATTGCGTAAGTAAAATGAGATAACCTTATCCGCTCGTAAAAACTTCATGTACTACATATTTTCCTGCTAATCATTTGCCGCGATTCCTTCGGTCCTAATACAAGGCATATCCGCCCACCAGGCTCTTTGTGTTCCTATCCTAATAACCAAATTTCCCGAGACTCAAATATTGCAAACCTTTTCCATAACCAACTGATAATGCCGAAACCTTAAGTTCCAGTAAAGATGAATCTAGATATCCCCAGACTTTCAGGTACGTGTAGCCTGTATCAGTTCGTCCACTATTTCATAGCACTCCTCTGGACTCTCGAACACTCTCCAGACATCCTTTGATACACCGTCAAACGCTTTCTCAAATCTTGCGGGCTCGTTTTTCTGGACAATACCGATCGAGGCTATGTCTGTTACTTTACGTATGAGTACTAATTTGACCCAGCCTGGGTTTTTGCGACATCTAAGTGGTTCGTTAGCAAGATGAAAGACAGATTTGCGAGGATATTAAATTTTATGGTTGGAACGAGAAGGGACATCGAAAGTTAGTTAAACGAGAACTCACATCTCCCCATAAGCCTCTGGGTCACTCTGCGTACTATCTCCCACAAAAATCATCTTCCTCTTCGGCAACCATCTATGAATCTTTTCTATCTCATTAATCTTGTACTCTTGTGTGCCCTCTGTCAATGTCTCTAACAATCCAGATAAACTCAAGAAGTTGGCATCCCTCAGTATCATAGTTCCTTGAGGATAATATGCCCGACGGAATTCGCTGAGGAATGAGTAGAGGGTGTAGGGCGAGGCAGATAGATAGAACCAAGGAGCTACGGATGCGTGGTTAGGTGTAATGATAGACTGTATGTGTTTGTATAGTTCTGGCATTCCTTCAACGGGCATCGGTTCAGATAAGAAGGTAGAGCGTAAAATGTCGATTGGAGAACTTGTTTGAGTTATTTTTATAGAGTCGTCAATATCTGTAAAAAGTTATTATAGACCCTTTGGGATCTCCTCAAGTTTCGCATTGTCCAGGATTTTGAGGTGATCTGGTATTTTCAAACTCACCAGAAATGACTGCCCACCCTTCCGGTTCGGCATAGACTGTTTTCATTTGCAATATTCCTTCAACTCCTAGTGGGACTTTTGCCTTCCATTTTACAATTTCGCCGTCTTTGCCATCCCGCAATGTCCGAATATCACTACTAATACCATTTCGACCACACGGTCCAAGTTTTAAATTTGCAACCCCTTGATGACCTGAAGACGCAATATTGACAACCCTTCCAGGTCGAACACTCATCAAGAATGGTCTCAATCTCTCTTCCACAATTTCATCTTCTCCTCTATCCCCGTCACCCCCAATTCTCCCCGCAATGTCTCCAATGATTTCCGGTACATGTCTTGCACTTTCCGTCTCCCATACTGCAGCTACAAATTCTGCTTCCCACTTCCCGGTCAGGTGATTTCTATACGCCGTATTATCCAACAACCAAACTGTATCGTCTTTGGTTACTGCTTTGGGAAATGGATTGCGTGGCCCAAGATACGAGAGAACATTGTCTATGAGTGAGTTCGTGGATGCGCGAGGGAGATTTGGAAGGCTTGATTCGGTTTCGGGGAAGTGGTTGCTGTTGCGAGCTTGGACTTGGAGGGACGTTGTGCTTCGACGGGAGATCGTCATCATGGCGTTAGTGGATTTAGCTCTAGCTTAATTCTCTTTGTTGTTATCAATGTGATGCTACGCGCGTGGTTGTTGATACAGTTATCGCTTGACTTATTGATGAAGCAAAATACCATCGAAATAGCAAATAGCAGAAATGTTCGAATCCGCAAGAAAAATGCGAAGATATGAGAAAAATAGATCAAAAAATGAAGGAACCCATGAAAGCAGTATAGGGCTGGTATTTATTAATCCATAGCTCTGCCTTATTGTGCCCCGTCATTCTTACTTACGCATTGAGGCTGATGATCACCCGCCTACTACTTGAGGAAATTGTCTTTAGTTTCTGGGGCATAACGTCAAATTTAGCGCTGCGCCCAGCACCCTGAATATGTGCAGCCATGATACCATGGGGGAGGCTGATGTGATGTGAGGTGTGATGAGGTCAGGGGACATTGATGAAATGCCAGGCACGCGATGAATTGATTCGACCATTTGGTGATACGGATTTAGCTTGGCTGATGGTGGCGTTCGGTATGACTGTACCAGTTCTTAGGTGACAATGGTAGTAGGTAGGGCTATGAGTAAGGGGGTTTAATGTACTCTGGGCAATTCGTATTTCACCGGGTGTGTGGTTGATGATCGACGTTATTCACAATAGTTTGTGTTCAGCTCAATCTAAGCCTTAAAGTGGTGGGGCATTTTTGCGCAATGGTGCTAGTGATGAAGGGGATGCCTACAATTGCCGACTTTATCAATGTCTAACGACAATATAAATCCATCTGCTCCCTTTATTCGAGGTAGCATTGTATTTCAAGATAGGAGTTTAATTGTTATATTAACCTTGACATCGAAGCAAAAGTCATTTACATTTTTTGCTGATGCTGGAGTTTTGCGGCGCAATCATCGTCTAGAGGTGACCCGGTGTCGTTCAGACTGAAGCACGGAATCACACATTTACCTAGTATCAGTTACTGCTATACTGAGCACATGATATTGCATATCAAAATTCAAAGAATGAATTGCAATATTTACGTCATCGCTACAAGTATTGGCAGCTGTTCACGATGAAATGCAAACATTCACATTTTGATAAGTGATAATCCCGTGGTTTCGTGAATTCTTGTTGCACATCTGGCACCAATCCTGGCAGCCTTTTGATCAGCTGGGCAGCTTGGACAATGGTCCCCGGGGCCGATTCAAAATTCAACGCACATTGGCCATAGAATAATTAGTAAAAAGTTATAAATGGTGTGGAATTCAGGTAGGTAAAATTCAATGTGTAAATCTTATTGATCGACTACCAAAAATAAATCACTTTCCAAACAAAAGGCATATTAATATGTTGAATTAAGGCTTGACATCAAATTGCTCATATTTCCTTCAATTTCCCAAAAGACGCCATGCCATGTTAACACGTTATCTAGAAATGCAAATCGCTCAGAATTACACCATGGAAGACGCGTCCGGATTCATTCATGGAGCCGTAAGCGCAGGCGGATAATCAGAAGGATCCGTCAAATATCCCTCGAGTGCTTGAATTCCCGGCGAAAAGAAATATTCACCACCCCTTTGAACCACCCATCTATCAAGTTGAACACGTGCCTCTGTAGGATCTTTACCATCTGGAAGACCGATGGAGCGAGGTGGATGGTGATCGAGTCGCTGGCCTACAATAGCATCGATTCCTGGACCATGCTCACCAACGAATTTGTCCTTGCGGTCTGGGAAGTGGTGATTGCTTGCCCAGCGAGTAGTCAAGAAATTGAATCCATTTCGAATGTCGCTTTGGTAGCACACAAAAAGAAGTCCACGTTCATTCTCGTCATCGGATTTTTGTACAGCTTTCTCTTCGGGTGTTACTTCACCTCCATAAGAGATACCGCGGCGTATGATGACGGCGTGGTCGTGATCCAAGTCTCCACGGGGCCGCATTTTTCGGATGTGTGCTGCAAAAGGGCATTTGTCGTGTTTTTGAACAGGATGGAAGTCAAAATTGTTAGATCTGAAAAGTTCCTTATCTTTGGCATCGTGAGGGCTCTCGTCCACAGGTGTTCCTAATGGATGAATCAGCATTGAGTTACATTTTTGTATATTAGGACTCAAAAACATACCATTTTTCCATCGACCCATCAGGTATGCAGCAAGCTTTTCCTTGGGATCTTCAGAGGTTGCGGCATGCGGTGCATTGTGTTTGTTATCTTCTAACCACCTGATGATGTATGAGATTAGTTCACGAGAATATGAAGCGAAGCGCAGTAACCCACTTATCAAATTCAGGGACAAGCTGTTGGAGATCCCGAAAAACGAGGAAGCTCCCATCTTCCGCCCAATCTGGCTGCTTCATATCATCACCCTCGTGCCTGGCAAAAATCAATCTGAGAAATAAAACAATCTTAAGTCAGTTGAGATGATCGAGATCAATTGATATCAAGAGAATCTTACCCTGATTTTACGGACTTGGGCTCTTTGTCCTTGGGTGTCATCTCATCTAAGCCTTCTATCAAGGGCTGACTGATTCCATCCTCGAAGCCGAAAC